CACTCTGCAATTACTTCCTATCTCCATATATTCCATTTCATTTGATAGCCCCCATATGCCTAAACTATGTGCATGAGGCTTAGGATTCAGCTAAGTTTCATTCTTTTGGGGTCTTGACTTAGTTCTGAGGGTTCCAAATTTTGTGCCACAGTACCCCAGAGTGTCACAGTGAACTCACAGAGGTGCCATAGGATAATTTAATAAACCATACTGTTTATGAGTTGGCTGCACTGACTTTGGATATAATTTGGGCACCGTGAAAAATTAGTGAGACACTCAGGGTGCCATGAATGGAGAAAGTTTGGGAATGTCTGACCTAGCTGCATAAGATGTTACAATATTTGAAGTTTGATTCAATCGTTGAGAATAAATAAAAACTGAGATTGAAGGGAAAGGGGAAAGGGGTAGTGACTTAAGGCCTTCCCAATATAGGCTGATGTTAAATTTTCACCATATTGTAAAGTCACTTTGATCTCTCAGAAGTACAGGTGAGTTAGAGGAGGAGTGGTTGAGGAAAGCAGGAATCAATGGCTGATTCAGGAGGCAAAATATGGACTAATAATTCTCATTCTGAATTCATTTCTCCTTTCTGAGATTTAGTATGCAACACCATAACTCAATCCATCCTCTCGCCAATTCTTCACTTTTCAATAGCTTGCTTGTTTCTTTAAAACGTCATCTTTTTTCTATCTGCCCAAATATTTTTTCTTAGCAATTGTCTGTGGTCAGCTCTTTGTTTCTTTCTGTTCTTAGATATTGTAGCTAATGGTGGTTAGCTAACATCTTGTCGCAATGTCAAAGCAAAGCAAGAATCAACCCTTCTGTTAAGGTTTACTTCATTGTCTGTATCAGACAATGCATTTCCTCCTTGTTCCTCTCATGATGACATCTCCAAATGGGAATGGGAAGTTGAGTGCTTCAGATTTTGGGGAGAGAAGTTATTTCAGCAAGAAAACAAATTAATAAGATTTATCTAATATATTTTCTGAATAAATGGCCTAGATCAGTGATGGCTAACCTTTTCCAGACCGAGTGCCTAAAGCATGCACGTAAGTGCACAAATGTCTGTGTGTGCACCCATATCCCCAAAATGCCATGCAGCGTGCCCATGTGCATGTGCCCCGTGCATGCACACATGCTCCCACATGTGCCCCGCTCCCCCGTGCATGCACGGCAGAGACCCGACGACCAGCTGGCCGGCAGAAGGCACACGCACATGCGCTGAACTTTGACAGCAGCTCGGGTGCCATCAGAGAGAGTGCTGTGTGCCACCTCTGGCACGCATGCCATAGGTTGGCCATCACGGACCTAGATCATCTTATTTGCTTGCTGGTATCTACAGCTCAGGCACCGATGTTTGTTCAAAGAAAAAGAAAACTATTTTCAACATCTGTATTAGCACTTAATTTGGATGTGTGAAAAAAAATCTTAAGGGTTTGCCTTTGAAAATTTATACTGCATGCTCACTTTATCAATCTTTGCAGAATCTTATTGAAGATCCTGTGCCATCTCCCCCTAAAATAGGGGGGGATGCAATGATTTGAGGTGATTCATGATGTTTACAGAGTCTGCAAGCAGAATCAGCAGTATACCTTCACTTAAAAGAAAAAGAAAAAGGACACTCTTTTGAGGACAAATGTGTTCACATTTTGGACAGGGAAGATATATGATTTGAGAGAGGAGCGAAGGAATCCATTTATGCTAAAGTGTAAAGTCCTTCCTTCAATAGAGGTGGAGGCCTCAGACATAACCTGTCCGTCATTTTTATGCTGTTCTTGTATCAGTCCCCAGGAAGATCAAGAGCACTTCACAGGTTCACCAATGAGGTCACCACTTAATAACACACCTGAGAGAAGGATTTAGGAACAATGACCCTTAATGACCCTCTGTCTACTCACCTAAGAACCTATTCAGATTTGGTGAGAAAGGAAATCACCCTGGAGGACATATATGGGGTCTCCATAACCACATTGAAAAAGCTACTTGGATAAGCAGCAAAACATTTCAAACCAAAAAAGAAGTCCAGTTGCCACGACCCAACTTTAGACAATCAGAAACAAGCTACTTTATTTATCTGTTATCTACCCATCAATGATGTAGTAGTCAAAGAGCTGAACCATGAGCAGAGAGGTATCCAGATTCCAGTCCCTCCTCATCCACAGAGGTTCATTGGGGGACTATGGGCCAGTCACTCTCTCTCACCCAACCTTTCTCACAGGACTGGAAGAAAACAAGAAGAACATTCTGTTTACTGCAGAGCTCTTGGAATTATAGATCTCCTCTTGGCATTTTTGGATCATCAACTTTAAATGCCTTTTGGCATAGAACCATATGGGTTTTACAAATGCCATCCATGAGTGGAAATAACTCCCTACTTTGCCAGGCTTCATGGGAGAGACTGGATCAATCTAAGTTGTCACTGTTTTCTAACAAGCTCCCTTATGATGCATGCACATAAGTGGCATCTGTTAATTCACAGTACAAGAATTATTTAAAATTCTTTATGGTCTCTGGGGGATATGGAAAGGAAAACAACAGCAACAACAAGAAATCAGTTGTACTCAGTCTGAAGTAGAGTGACTGTAAACCTTTACCTTCATTTAAAGGAAAGGAAATTAATGTGTAAATCAAAGTAAAAAAGAATGGTTTAGGCCCACAGATTTTTTTTTCCTGGAATGTGTTATACCTGTTGAGAAATGCTACCTTGTTCATTAGAAGCATCCGCATGACAATAACATAGGGTTACTTACAATTAGATGCCCATGTGTAAATACAATGATTAGATAAGCCACATAAACATAATTATTGTATCTTCTAAAAATCCAGTAAAAATGGTTTCCATTGCGGAGTGATTATTAAAGTATAACAGTATCATCTTTTGTTAGTAAACATTTGAATGCAATGTGTTCATGTAAGCTGAAAGTGAAATAATTATTGTGAGGGGGCAAATCTGTTTGGTGGATTGAGCCCTTGTATCTTAATAAGTATTACAATAGTGGAGGTCAATTACAATGATGACTCATTAAAAGGAATTAAAATACTCCTATAAAGCTGCAACAGATGGTTCTCTAATTCTTTTAATAGTCTTCTTAAGATGTTTAGGGTAATAGTCTTGCATTAATATAACAAGATTATAGTGAAACCTAAGTGCTGGAAGTTGCTTGCAATGTATGTCCCTGTTGTTGCATAATTTCCAAAGATAAAGTATAAATTGGGAATATTGTTGAATTAGTCATAATGCCCTTGAATACTTCATTTAATATACATTTTTCTCCTCTTCTAATCTTCAGGGTATATGAAGTCCTAACTGTAGAAGCAAACGATTAGGCAAATCAAAGAGTAAAGAAATAGATATGATTTGTTCTTAAATCCAGCATGATGAGTTACAATCAGATGGAGAATTAAAACTTTTTTAATGGAAAACTTTTTATATTTACTGTAAATGCCACAAATTTCCAAATTATATATAGAGTGGAATTCTCAGTGTTCTCTGAGCTTGGTTGTTTGCTTTCAAATATTTTATTACCCAACTAGATAATATTATCACTTAGTATGAGGTTTGCTCATTGTTTATTTACAATAACTTGTCCTGCCAGATGGTGGGGGTATGGTTTTCTTCTTAGTGGTTCCTGGCAAGCTACTATATATAAACAAGGAGCAAACCCCACACGCAGGGTTGGGATTCAAAATTTTTAGCAACTGGTTGTCTGCCCGGTTGCTGGGTGAGCATGGCTATGGTGGATGAGGCCTACTTGGCCTCCTGCACCACAGGTGAGAGGCATTTTCACCCTCCCCAGGCTCTGGAGGTTTTCCTCAAGCCTGTAGGAGGGCGAAAACAGCTTCCCTGGGCTCTGGAAGCTCTCTGGAGGCCAGAAATGGACCTGATTCCAAACTTCTGGGAGGCCTATTTTTCGCCCTCCCAGAGCCTCTGCACAGGCACTGCACTTACCTGGCATCCAAAACAGGCCGTGTGGAGACTCCTGGGAGGGGAGGAGTGGGCGGGGCCAGCCAGTCCTTGCATCTACTGGTTCAGGGAACCAGATGTAAAATTAGCATCTGGTTTGCCCGAACTGGCTGACTCCCACCCCTGCCCACACTCACTCACACTGATGATGTTATCTAGTTGGGTAATGAAACATCTGTAAGCAAACAGCCAAGGTGAGAGAGCACCAAGGACCCCCCCCCGGTTCAGTCCTGAGCTACATATTGTATACTCTCTTCTACTGGAATATATAGTGCCTAGCTGGTAAATGTTTCCAGATAGCTAGTTTTAGGGAACTTATGGCTCTGTTTACTTTCTGTAACCATGCACTGATTTCTGATTCATACATTAGGCAGCTAGCAATCGAGAGTTCCTGTCTGTCTCTTCCAAAAAAGAAAACATTGGACTGTGACGCTGAAGTATTGCCCAGGTTTTAGAGTTCTCCACACAAAGATTCCTTTATTTGCCTTTATATACATGTAGGGTCAGATTAAAGTCAGTTTATGTCCTAAATACAAACAAACAATGGTGCTCTCAATGGAAACAAAACTCTCATACCATGAGATGGAAACAAATGTGATATCTGACAACACTTTGAAACCAAATGTTTTAAACTGGAGTCACTCACCATGCCAAAGAAATATTTTTTTTAAAAAAAAAAGCAGATTAAAGTTTAACACAACAGGTTAGGATTCCAAAAAAATCATATAAAATTGAGCATGTAAGTGAAAGAGTTAAGAGCATGATAACTGGGGCGGGGCGGGGGGAACTCTGTGGTGCCCATCCCTTGCATTGTTGCTCTAAGTACCTGCTTATTTTGCTGAATGATTTCCCCAGGGTTGTATAAATGCATATTTTTACCTTGTTAGGTTAAAAACCAGAGCTGGTGTCTGAAAATCAGAGTGGCTTCAAATTAATAAAAATGCAATTCTTCTTCTCACGTTAACAGTTTGAAAAGTCTGTGTGCATGTCTAAGGAGAGTTGATGTTTGCTTCTTTTATGACCTAGTCTTCTGCTTTCCACAAGTATATTCTGTAATATTATTAATAGTTATTATTGCTTTATTTTCAGAATTGATATATGCCTGGATTTTCAATGAATATCCAACTTTTGTGCACCAGGATAATCGCCGCTTTGTTTCGCAAGAGACTGGGAATTTATACATAGCTAAAGTAGAGAAATCGGATGTGGGAAATTATACGTGTGTCGTGACAAACACAGTAACAAATAGCAGAGTGCGAGGGCCTCCTACGCCTTTAATCCTGAGAAATGATGGTAAGACTTTTATTACATTCTAATAAGATTCATAAGAAATGGTAAAAGGAAAAAGTTCTAAAGGATAATACTAAAAATCTACATTCTATACAGATACAATGAAAAGTAATTATTAAGATTTGGCCCCGAACAAGAGTTCAGATTATCATTCATTTTAAATATTTGAGTAATCTTATGCTTGTGAAGCTTTCTTAGGTAATACACTGAATTTTACAGGACTTCTGTGGGTATAAACAAGCAAGAAAATTAGCAATTTAGTCTCTGACACCTAGATCAGATGCCACCCCTCCTCTGACTTTGTGGGCATGGCTGGCAGATTTGCAAAACATGGCAGCCATTGGATGGTACCAGCCCACTAGTAAGGAGGCCACCAATATGCTGCTGCTACCACCCAGAATGTTCCGCCCCTTCTCCTTCCCTCACCCTGAAAGTTTGGGTGAAAATTGGATTTAGCAATCTGCCACCTACACCCCCATTTTAAGTTCATGAGCCATTAAAACCAGGTGGCAGTCCATTGAGTTCTGTAGCAGCAGTGAACATTAAATGAAATACGATAAGATTTGGGGCTTGAAGTAGTAATGTAAAATAGTAAATTTGTATGTTAAAATTAGGCATCATAAAATAGCGCTGCTATTTATAGTCTTCATTTTCCTGTTCTACATTTCCTATAATTCAGCTGTTTAAATGCAATTCATTCATCAATATTCATATGTTAAGGCAGTTAATATAAAAGACCACTCTTTCGGGATGCAAAATAGTAAATTAAAGAGCAATAAATGCAAACAAAAATGATATATGTTATAGGAGTATGTCAGCTGTATTTGGATCTTTTTTTAAAAAAAAACCTGACATTTGCATGGCCGGTATATTTCAATATATAAGAGGAATTAGTTTCATTAGAGCACATGGTTATTAAATTAGTAGATTAAGTGGCAAATTCATCCATTTTTAATGTCCTGATTACATAAATAAGAACTATATAAATCTAAAATGTTGGTGCTAGAACTATTGCAATACTTCACACTCCTTATAAGCAAGTATAAGCAAGATGAATAACAAAAAGACAAAAAAATGCTATCCTTTGGGGAAAAAATCAAACTTAATATGTCCTCCATTCCAACAATTCAAATAAATGAATACTTTTTTTTATAATACTCAACATTTTTCATTAGATGAATAATAGGGAGCTCTTATCAATGCTTTTCTTGCTTTTTTAAAAATAAAACTTCTTTTTGATTAGTGTTGGCTTTGTAATCTAGCACTAAATGTGCCAAAAATACTTGGATTTGATAACCATGGTTAAAAGGAGAAAACAGGAGCCCTATAAAATTATTTCTGGGAAACATAGATTTCCTGTTCTGTCCTATTTTAGATTACATGAGACATCTCCATATTTGCTACTGCAAAAGTAAGAGAGGATTCTGGCAGATTGGTGTTGATGATTATAAAAATGCACCCTGCCTCTTCCCAATTATATAACTTACTTGGATTTTGTATCCCTTAAAATTGTAGGTATTTGAGATACTTAGAACATCTCCATGGAAATGTAACTTGATATCTGGAAAGTTATTAAAATTGTAATATTGTACTGTTCTTGAGTACCTGTCCCTGTTTTCCATCTTTATCCTTCACTAACTGTGCAAGAAATACTATTTATAGTATATAAATACATTTATCTATAAATAATCTATATATATAAAACCACTCATGCATTAATCATGAAATCTCCAGAACCGAAAAGCCTACAAACTTGAAATTTGCCACATATGTTCCTCTTGGCTTCTAGGTGCTCATAAAGAAAGGATTTTTGGAAATGACCATCAGATCATTAATATTTCCTATATTATTATTATTAACATGCTCTGAAAAGAAATATGTTCCCAATGCAAAACATAAGCAGAGGACAGGAGTTTCAGTTTCAGTTTTACTTTCACAGCAGGAAGCAGCTTTAATACAGAAAACTTGAGCTAAACCACGCCCAGCCTCCTTCCTGTCTCCTCTTTGTTCACACAGCAAATACTGTTTCACTTTCCAAACAGCCCTCTGATGCTAAGGAGTTCTACTCCCCCTCCCCACCTGAAAAGAAATATGTTCCACACTCTGATGCTAAGGAGTTCTACTCCTCCTCCCCATCTCAAAAGAAATATGTTCCAAATGCAAAACACAAGCAGAGGAGAGGACTTTCAGTTTCAGTTTTACTTTCACAGCAGCAAACAGCTTTACTACAGAACAGTTGAGCTAAGCCACACCCAGCCTCCTTCCTGTCTCCTTGCTCACATAGCAAATACTGTTTGAGTTTCCAAACACCCCTCAAGTCTCTCACACACTGACAGGATGCTAGCCAGATGAATACCGATGGATGCTGCAGGCTGGGGCACTCTACTCCCCCTCCCCCTCTGTTCCAATTGCCAATTGCATTATATTAACACACTCTGATGCTACAGAGTTACACATTGTACATTAAGTTTCAGGCTGTAAGTGTCAATTTATCAAGCCCGAGCACATAGCGAAGCACGGGCGTCCAGCTAATATTTCATATCTGCATTTCGTTTTTCATTCTGCTTCCTAACCAGCTTCTTGGGGGCCCTAGAAAATATAACTTTACCTGTTTCTTTGCACTTTTTTTGAAAACAATATGTTTTTTTTTCTTATTGTATGGCAGATTCAAAAAAAGTTTCCTTAATCCATTGGTCAAGCTATTACAATAGCAGGCGGCATTTCCTCCATGGGACACTAAAATGTATCAAAACTGGACATGGCCAGGCAATGGTAAAAGTAGACTTATTGTTTAGACAATTCCTGGATCAATATAAGACCAGTTTGTGTCTTCTCTGCCGAGATGGTGTTTATCTAATCGTCCAAGTGCAAGATAAAAGGCAGTCTGTGTGGCATAGAATTTGTCAGAAAATAGTCATTGCTCTGGTCTTTCCATAGTAAGAATTATCTTCAAATTTAGGCTTGTCTCCCACAATCTATTCTAAGTATACTTTCAGCCAGTCCTCAATTAGCCTGTTAAGTGCTGGGAGTAATCAGAGTGCAGAGAAAGAGTAACAGTGGCAACAGGGGAGCCATAGCTTTAAAAATAGCTTACAACTGATCATCCATTTGCTTCAATTGAAGTTGTTTCCTTACTTTTCTCTGCAGAGAACAACTTGTGGGCAAGGTTCCTTTTTTAATTTCCTGGGCAGCCTGAAATAGCAGACCTGTTTGGTTTCTCATTTGTGCTGAAGACAGAACCAAAACTTTAACTGTAGTTTTGTGGCTACAGGATTTCATCCAGATCAGGATTTTCTGGTGGTGTGAATGTAGACAGTTTAGCTGCGTGCTTTGTGTATTATGGCGGCTAACGCCATCTAGGGCATTAAACTATGCGCAGCCATTGTACAACCTGCTGACATGGCTGAAGTAAGCCCAGCAAAAGTTGAAAAGATATTGAAACTAAATAATGACAAGTTAATAGGGTGAATAAGAAAAGCAAGATCTCAAGGCTGTACATGGGATAAACATGTAGATGGGGTAAATTGAGTGGAAGATCAACAACAGGACAGCCTGCCAGTCTCTTTTGAGAAACTGGAGTAAGCAGTCACACTGATCCTGCATCAGGCCCTGGAATAGTGCTGACAAACTCATGGGTAAGCAAAAGTAGTCAATGAGGAGCAATGCAATCTGTGTGACTATGGTATCTTTGCCAGTGAGATACTGCTCTATGAAGTGTGTAAGAGAAGGTATAGTTGCACAGAGATAGAAAAATGAAACAGTCTTAGAATGTTGCCCAAAACACCATAGCAATAGTCAATAAATCAGCATTATTGTCATAAGTTGCTATCCATAGCTTAAACATAAATAATGACAGGATAAGGGATGATCCTACCCATGAAAGTGGATAAAACAAATGAACAAACATTTGAGGGCCAGTCACCATGAAGACAATTTCATTTCAAAACAGCTGAGCAACAGCAGGACTCCTTGTTTTCTTCTTCTTCAAAAGCCATTTGATCAGTGTGAATCTCTGTGTGAGAGAGAATGAATAGGGAACATCTATAATGCTTTAAGCATCAGATAATCTCTTACAAAGAACTATGAACAGGGAACATTCACTGAGCCAGTTCCTATATAGTTATATCCTCTGTGTGTGTGTGTGTGTGTGTGTGTGTGTGTGTGTGTGTGTGTGCGCATGTATACACACACAAACGTACACATATACACACACACATATGCACACACACACATATATTTACACACACACACATATACATATACATATACATCAGGGGTGGGTTCTACTTACCTTTACTACCGGTAAGCAACAGGATCACACACTCGCTTCGCTCATGCATGTGCCTTGCTTCTTTGCATGCGCAGATCACTTCTGATGATGTCAGGGTCAGTGGGCGGAGCCTTCCCGGTTTTACTACCAGTTCTATAGAACCGATCCGAACCGGGGGCAACCCACTACACATATACATATACATATACATATACATATACATATACATATACACACACATGCATACACACACAATTTTATGGGTATATTTGAGGTTGTTATGATATTTGCCTTGTCTAATATTTATTGATTCCCAAAACAGACCTTCAGCTTTGGGGAATAAACCAGTTAAATTTTGATGTTCTGAAATTCTGAAAGTTTCTCAAACAAAGATATGTGATCAGGCCTGATGCTCCCACATAACCAGAGATTTATCTAGATGGCTCTATTTACTTCAATTAGGGTTTGGTATTTTGGGTTTTTAGAAGATTTATTGTTATGGGTTTTTATATTTGCATATGCTGTTTTTATATTTTTTTATTTATCCATTATTGTGAACCATCCAAAGTCACCTATGGTGAGATGAGTGGCTATATACCTTTGATTGTTTAATAAATAAATACATAAAATTATGAATCTTCCTGAGATGGAAAATATCAACATGTTTGTTTCTGAATATGTTAGTGAAAGTTATAGTTTATGGTAATCAGTATAATCCTATGTTATCATTCGCTAAATGTACACCTATTAGAGTAACAGTTATATGAGTTCGTTTCTAAGAAATACACATTCCATAAACAAACGAACAAATAAATAAATAAGACAATAAGAATTGCAATAAAAACAGCACTAAATATCAATAAACTTACACATTGTATGATGTTTACTTGACATTTATTTTATACTTTGTCACTCTTCAGGTTACTTTCTGTAACTCTGTGTGGTACACCAATTTTCAACAAACTTAGGATAGAAAAATGCTCTGTTCTAAGTGATTTTTTTTTCTTTATTCAAATTCAGCCTTGTTTTTAGCTGTTTTGCTGGTTCCCTCTCCGCAGCTGAAGTAGCTTTGCATTCTGCAGAGTTCTAGGGTTAACATTCCATGCAGGAGACAGCTGCTGTTATCTGCTTCCATGGATAAAACGTCAACAGATCACTTTAAGAGTATAAGCCAGTCAACAGGGGAGCATCCTCCATAGCAGTCATAATGGCTCAGAATCAAAGATGCAGGGATTCCAGCTGTCTTCAAACTGTATTTTGGAAAATGATACTTTTGAATCTTAATCCCATATTCAATGCCTTACAACTGCAGTTTTCCTATTATACTTAATCTTGAATTGATCCCTATAGGTGAACAAAAATAAATACAAAGGATACCCCCTAAAATTTATAATGTAATTCTCCTGAGTTTATTCTCCAGGAAATCACATTAACCCCTAGTGGAGCCAGTTCAGTTTATGTGTTGACTGAGCATAAATATGACTTCTTATGCAAATCAGTATTTAGATATATTTTATTTATTCGAAAGTATGAATGTGATAAGTGATTTACAAAAGCAGTAAAACCTGTATAATGCCATTGGAGACAATTTGTCTTGGTATTATTTGGATCTCTGATGGTCTATATATATATATTCTTTTTTATGAACAGCAAAGCACTAATAAAGTATAATCATATATATAAAAAGAAGACATGAGGAGATTTAATCATTGGCAGATTGCTAAGAGCTACAGGCCAATTTTTCCCCTAGCCAATAAATGGAAGAGGAAGCCCTCCCTGAGTGGCAGTTAGGTCTTCTTTGAAGTTAACAGATAAACTGTCATGTAATGATACATAAAATGCTCCCGGTTAACTCTGGAATACTTGAGAATATGAACTGCAGAAATCAACCCAGTTTAGCATCTATTTTATATTCACAGGAGTGATGGGTGAATATGAGCCAAAAATCGAAGTGCAATTCCCAGAAATGGTTCCATCTGCCAAAGGAACAACTGTGAGGCTGGAGTGTTTTGCACTGGGAAAGTAAGTTTTTGCCAACCACACAGTGGTACTGAAATTATTTCCAGAGAGTTAAGCAGTCTACCAAATTGGGAGAATTCTGTTTGACACAATTTATGTTTGCTCCAGGACCTTTTCAACAAATTGCTCATTTTCCAGTGCTATACAAATTGTCACTTCAAACAGTATCATCTTCCTGGAATCAAATTAAAGATCTACCTGCTTTATTACATCTAATCCATCAACCATTTAATCTAATAACAAAAGTTATTGAGGTATGATCCTTTTCTAGATAGGCCACACAAACCAACTCAAAATATTCTCTAAATTGGATGCGGAAAATAAATCTTGAGGACCTAATGAATTATATGCTAAAAATAACTTTGCAGAATTCCACAGCAATGAGAAAATTCAGTGTCAGGAATTAGCATGAAAGTGATTTATTATAAGGGAACTATATTGCTGTTGTATTTGTCTACAATACAGACCTAGCATATTGTGTCCCAATTCCAATAAATCAATTCAGAATGTCTCCTTTCATGGTTATGCTTGGTGGATCTGTGACCTATAATAAAAAAAGTCAAATTCAGTGTACTCTTATTACCTGCTGTTAATAAAAACAGAGGAGACTGATATTTTTGTAGACTTTCAATGAGCTCCTAGACATGTCATCTGGTCAAATACATGATGTTTAGTTTAATTCCACAATTATTGTCCTATATACTTAATGAAATTTAAAGTATATTTAATCACAATAATCTGTTTATACTTCTATTTATACATTTTGAAAAAATAGGTAAAATCAAGTCTTTATTACAATTTAAATTAATCATTAGTGACAGTGCCATTGTTATAAGTAGGTCTATTCTAAGTAGAGTCTAATATATACAAAATAGTCAATTTTATGACAGGAATAAAACTTATAAGTATTTGTTTTCAATGGAAAGGATACTTATGTCATATTTCTACAGGTGTTTAGCCCTACTCCTAGACACCAGTTTGTCCAACTCTGAAATATGTTCCATCATATCCCACACTTATTACTATATTTCAAATTTCTCTCTTAGCAAGGTTGCATTTATATTTTGTAGCCTGCCTTTAGTTTCTTATTGGAGAAGCTGGTCCATGTTTTATAGGTTACAGGTTTCAAATAAGTCGAATGATGGATTGGAGATAGGTTTTGGGAAAATACTTCTGTTTGAAAAAGACTAATAGATATCTTTATGTCCAAATATATCACATTTTTGTTTATTGGAAAAATGTGATTATAGAAATGTTTAATTAATGGTATATCTTCCCAGAAAGAATTAAATCAATGCAGAATTGTGTATGTAGTGGACAGAACCCTCTCACATAAATGTCAGAAAAGTACAGGCCCATAGGATATGCCCATCGGACACAACATTAAATATTTTGAGCTATATGATTATAGGCAAAAATCCATATTAAGATATATGACAAAATTGATGATTGCATGATAATAAGTATAACCAATAATAGCCTAGGTATAAACATGACTAATTAGAGATATAGGTCAGATTTTCCTAACCCGGCACCTTCAAAATGCTTTGGTATTCCCAGAATTTCCACTCAATATAATTAGAGTTGGGAAGATCTGACCTAAATTTTGATGATCATATAATGGATTTTTTGTCTAGAAATTGTTAATATATAATATGTCTGTCATTTAAAATTACATAGCCTTTACCATCATATTTTTTCCCCTTTATTGTTCATAAATAGCCCAGTTCCTGCAATCAGCTGGAGAAGAACAGACGGAAAGCAAATCCCCAAAAAAGCTCGGAGACACAAATCAAGCAGCATTCTCGAAATCCCCAACTTTCAGCAGGAAGATGCTGGCATGTACGAATGCGTAGCTGAAAATGTGAGAGGAAAGAACGTGGCCAGAGGCCAACTAACATTTTATGGTACCCAGCTTATTTATTTACCTGATTTTCATTATAGCTGAGGCAAAAATGCGGTAAATGCTTTGTTGCAATGTCAATGTTGATACTTCTCTTCACATTTTGTATTGCAAATAGGTTTTCTCAGCAAGTGTAATTTTACATAAAATAAAAACCTCTGAGACAGGCATATTGATTGAGGCTATGAAGTGTGGAAGAAGTAAAAACGTATGTCATGAGACAGAGATTGGCCTAGTAAAAAAAACAAAATGCTATTGTAAAGCAATTTATTCTGTTTTTCTTCATCGTCTGTTAGAAAACATGCTGTTTTGAATAATCTTGGCAGTTCTGCCTTTAAACAAAATTAGGACTGCTTGTTTCTTTCATTGCTCATGTCATTGTTTCTAACTGATCTTTCATTGGTACCAGCTCTTCATGTCAAGATCCAAATGTTCCCCTTACACCAACTTCTATTAACCAAGTACTTTTTATGCTGAAAAGCTAATGATGAGCTCTATATCTGTCTGAAAATTATGGTGGAATTCATTTCTGCAATCCAAGATGTTATAAAATGCTTGTGACACTAACCCACAAATGTTTGTGTTATGAAAATAAGTTAAGGATAAGAACAGGCAATTGTTTTATTTCTTAAGGCTAGACATGTTTCATCCCTCCCAGCTAAAAACGGCATTAGAAGGTATTCCATGATCTGAAGCTATTTCTCCCCCTCTTTTCCAAAAGGAAAGAACTATATATGTTTTTAGCCTATTGAAGCTTAGCATACCTATTTTATCTCTAATTTTTAAGAAAAGTTGACAAAACTGTTGGATAGTCAATAGATTTAAACAGAAAAAATAATGAAACAAAAAGAAAACAACCAGGAATATTTAAAAAAAAAGGAATCTTGACGTTGGTGCTTGTGTGAAAAATGAGCATGCTTTATTTTGGACATCGCTTAAGCATGTCTATAGCTAAGTGTCTCCTTCCATTATGAAAAAAGAGCAAGTCAGGTAAGTATCTGAAATACATAGGTTAGAATAAAAGAAAGAGAAAGAAGACTAAACTGAGGTAAAAACTACTAGAAAACATGGAAATGTCTAACTGACCAACATGAGGCATGTTACTTACAGAAATGCAAAGCTTGCTTTAGCGAGAAGGAGATAAGAATATTAAGTCCCTCTAGTAGAAGTGTTCAACTTCCATTCTTCAAAATCAGTATGTATAGGCACAGAAAAGGGTGTGTGTGGTTGAAATCCAAAGAAAGTCAAACATTTGCAAGATTTTTTTTATTTTTTTGCTAAAATTGAGCAATGCAATTTCAGAAATTCCAGGACCACAAAAACAAAAGCCAAACTAGATATGCCTGGGGAAATAAGGAATTTTCTCATTCTCTTACAATTTTTGCACTGTTTTTTTTTTTTTTTTCTAAATCTGATACATACTTGTTTTCAAGTGAAATTCCCATTGACTCCAATGGAGGATTGCTTTGAAAAGCGAACAACATTAGAAAGGCTTTAGGAACAGAACTACAGCTTCAGCTTGATAGAATCATAATTAGGAAATACTTACTTACCAGTATGTATACCTGTCAGATTCACAAGCCAGTTAAATATTGGTTTGATAACATTCATAGATAGCTTGAAAACATGTTTGCCACATTAATAGGTAGCTTGAAAACCAAACCAAAGAGTGCTCGGAAACAACTCCTTATAAAATCAGAGTGAGATAAAGTGATACCAGAAGATTCATTTCTGGATCCAATATTCTTCAACATTTCATTAATGACTAATAATCACAAAGTGATGAGGAGAACTCAAAAGTATAGGATGGGGAATATCTGGCTTGTTAACAATTTGAAGGATCTTCAAATTGGAATTGATCTGAACCTTAATTTGAGTTACTAGAAACGCTGCAGTTGCAAAAAGGTAAATGCAGTTTTAGGCTGCGTCAATAGATGTATACATTCCAAATCACAGAAAGTAACAGTTTTATTCTGTTTTGCATTGATCAGATTAAAGATTCAGGCAAATTGGTGCAAAAAAAGACCTCTCCACCATTCAAGCTTCCTTTTCCTCCTATTCTTAATTCATAAGTCTTCATTTCAATGTTAATAAATGCCAAGAAAGAACTACCACTTTGCAAAATGCAAAATCTTGCCAAAAGGGGGAGGGAGAGGGAGAGGGGTCAAGTTAAAATAGACTCGAAAGAATAACATTTTAATGCATCATCAGTTTGGACCAATAAATATTTTTGTCCCAGTTGGAATAGCAACACTTAAAACTGACACCAACTTTAGTGTACTGGCAATGAAATGCAACCCTCCAGGTTCATTTTTCTCATTAGTTTCACAGCCAGTCCTTTAGTTTCCATCATTGAGAATATCTAGGAAAGCATCTCTTTTCATTTATTGAGACTGCATGACATTGATCAAAGGCATCCATCATTACAGCATTTTTTTTAGCTTTGAATGCCTTCATGATTTCTTTCTCCATGGAAATTGTTCCATAAAATTGCTCATTTTCAGCCATATGGCTAGGGTGCCAATTCTATGTCTCCAGCTCTAGATTAATTTTAGGCCTAGCACTGCTATTCACAAAGGTGCCACAAAGATTGTTTTTCTTCTCCGATGTCTTCAGACTTAACGGTATTATGAAATCTGATCTTTCCCTAGAATATAAATGAGTTACTGTCATATTCTAAAGTTTTACTTTTTCACTTTAGTATCATTTTTTTGAATAGTTGATATGAATAACACAATTCTTTCATGCAGGCCAAGTTTCATCTTCTGTACTGTAGTTATAAATAAATTACACTAATCCAAACTCTAGTTTTAGTCTTCCTAAACTTAAAAGTCAGTGATAAAGATTTGTACTTCATCCAGAACTACAGTGGGAACTCTTATGAGTCCAATGGAAACGATTTAAGGTAATTCTGGAAGACCTGATCCTGAACTTTTGAAACCATATCAGAGTTATTTTGAATGACTGCAATTGTACACATTCCAAGGGGAAAAAGAAACTGATTGCATCTCTAGCCAGAGCTTCAGAAAAGTCAAAGTAGCTCATTCTACATTCCTTTGGTGTGAACGTATGCATAATGAGAGTATTGAACATTATGAAGTGTGACTGATATGGTGAAATTTTCTGTGAGCACAGTGTATATAAATTGAGACAGTGTGAAGCAATCAAGTACCATGAACAGAATGCTATTTAGTATTTAATTTAGTAGCAGATCTGAAAGTAGAGAGATAGTAGTGTTATTTCAAAAAAACTAAAGTCTTGCTGGACTGTTGCCATAGAAAAAGATCTGTTACCTAAAAATTAAATGTCCACTTTTAGGCTGCCTAAACACAATTGGTCAATTAATTTTGCCTAAATTTCATATACTTGTAAGGAAGGAAGACATAATATATTGATTCAAGTCAAGGCATGATCAAGGTCTTCACAAAATCATACAATACTTACTAGTTGTCAGTCAGCAATCAGACATAAAAGTTATTTTACTCTTTAGCGTTGCCCTTCCTCCTCCTTGCAGGCTAGCATTGATATCTTTTTAGTAGATCATGTTTATTTTTAACAAACAAGAGGGACCAATGGCCCTTGGCTTTTCTTGATTGCAGAAGTTTAAACAAATGGAATAAATAAACTGGCTTAATGGAGCCAAGTAAACAAGAAGAAAGTAGCAAACCCAAGTATTTTTAAGCAGAATTGCTATAGTACGCTAGCCAAGGAAGACAAAAATAAATAAATAAATTGAATTGTGTGTGAGAGAGAGATGCAAAATAACAATTCAGTCCAAAATTAAGATGATAATAAAAATTATAATGATCAAATTAGTATATTTTATCTCTCTAGTATGTTTTACATTGTGAACAAAAAGTTTTAAACTTTTCTTTATATTTTTCTTGCTGCTTGCATGTCTAGCATGTGATAAAAAGCATTCTGAGTATTAAGAGTAACTACAAACAGAACTATTAAAATGTATTTTTGTTGTTTGAGAATTATTGTTATCCAACAAGAAATGTTGAAAACAGAGATGGATTTAAAATTATAGCTTCATGTTGATAAAATTTAAGTTGCCAATTTGACATTCTTTTATCTGGTGAAATAATGATGGAATAATATAAAATATCCAGTTTCCTGGAGACCTCTGCTGGTATTATATATATATCCTTGAATTTTTATTATGGATTACAAATATTTATATGAACCTTAATTATTTCCCATTCTATAGAATATTTAATTGTCTAGCTGTTTTAAAATACCCCCATATTATTCATCAGGATTTGTGTTTGTTACTTGCAATCAAGGTAATGATAGTCTTTTAATTTTGAGATGCATGTTTCTGAAAGTTACTTTATGATATTATTTACCTGCAAATAGTTAGATATTGTATATAATGGAACTATAAAATATAATACTGACCACAAGAGTAACCATGTAAATACATGGGGGGGGGAAGTCTGTTGATTTTAAAGTGGTTTGATTTTGCCCATTTATTTGCAATTCAGATTCACAGAAAGTGAACAAAATTTTCTGATTTTGTTCTAAGATCTGCTTTGTCTCTATGATTGCTGTATTTTTCACATTTCTTATCACTATTTTTGGATCTGTACAATCCAATTTAATTGTTTTATCCCTCCAGTCGATTTAAATTGCTATTTTCTTCTAATATTAAATTAGCTTTTATTATTTTTTCCACATCCATACTACTCTTCTATTGTTTACGTTTGCATATACAAATTACAATTTTGATGATTGAAACAACTATTGAAAGTAACCAAAATGCACACACTCTGTTACTTACAACCTAATATTTTGTAGCCTCAGAAATCAGTGTTCAATGGGCACTATAGTTATCTTAATATTTTCAGTTTAATAATTATATTCTACAGGATTTGATCCATGTATGATAAGGTGCAAAATAGAATTCAGGGGAAGACTTTATTCACCGTCAGATAATGAAATATTTCATCCTTTTTTTTTTTTTGCACTCTTTATTTTTCAAATCATATGCATAACAAAACAACAACAACAAACCAGTTATCTATAGAAATAATTGACATATATAACATTAATAAAGCTAGCCAAGTGTTTATTGGTTTACCAGATTTGATTTTTTCCTTAAGTATTTCAGAGATTCTACTTTATTGCATTATTAGAAATATCATTATAGGTTATTACATTAATTGGTCATATAGATATACCCATGAAAGCCAGTTTGGGACATTAGTTAAGGCACTAGGCTAGAAACCGGGAGAATGTGAGTTCTAGTTCCAACTTGGGCGCAAAGCCAGCTGGGTGACCCTGGGCCAGTCATTCACTGTTAGCCCTAGGAAGAGAGCAACGGTAAACTACTTTTAAAATCTTGCCAATAAAACTGCAGAGACTTGTTCAGCCAGTTACCAGGCATCAAAGCTGATATACCCAGGTTAAACAATTCCACTACATCATTGCAGTCTTCATGCTCAACATCTTTAATGTATAGAAGTGACCAAAGTCAATTTTAGATTATATCTAATCTCTTTTCATGGAAACGGCAATCTTAAACCCACATTTCTATTTTTTTTAAAAAAGAAAAGCATCCATTGGAATAGATTTATTTGTGAGATCATGGCAGAGAAGAAATAAATGTTACTCAGATAAATATCCCTGTACTCCTTCTTACAGCTCCTCCCAACTGGAATCAGAAAATAAGTGATATTCAGGTGGCTATAGAAGAAAGTATCTACTGGGAATGTAAGGCAAATGGCAGACCAAAGCCTTCTTATAGCTGGCTGAAGGATGGTGAACTTCTTCTACCTCAGGTACAAGCAATCTTCCAAATATTGATGCTCTGAGGTTGGGGATTAACTTGCAAGGATTTGTTTTCAACATTACTGAAAAATAAAAACAGCAGAAACCATACAGTCTTAAGGTTCCATCTGTCCCACTGCAGACTTCTTGTCATGCTGAGTGAATGTCACAAGATCACCTTGAACTTTCTGTATAGTTAAAACAATGTCATTCAAGTCATACTTTTCAAAAGGCAAGAATTGCCCTAGAGCACCTAATTTTCAACCAATGTTCAGCTAATGTTAGGTATTTAAGTGCCATTTTCTCCCTTTGACAAACATTTCACAGAATCAATTGGAACTGAGAAGCTGTGGGATTCCTTTCCAGGGCATATTTGCTTTGAGGAGAAGAAAGATATATAAAATGGCTGCACATTTTTCAGTTGCTGCAACGCCACAGGCAAACCGAAATATCGCCTGGAACAAAACCTCTGTTAAGTGCTAACTGTGAAAAACAAAAATGGGAATATAGCTATTCAGGCTATAAACCTCCTTTTTTTCTTTTCTGTTTTTAATATGTAAGTTTTAATTGAACTTTATGGAATGTAAACAAGCTCTCTAGTCTGTATCTGTTTCACTTCTATGGACCTCTGCTGACAGGGCCAACGAGGAAATTGACCTACCATTTGCAGTGTCACACAGAACTATCTAAGGATTAATGGGCTATAGAAAGAAAGGAAAAGATTTCATCAGCACCCCTCCATTCCTAATCTCACCAAAGGAGATCATTCCAGCCCTTGATTGTCTCAATTTTAAGGGCAAAAACTAAGCAAAGTGCAAATCGCTCTCACCTGCACGTTGCCTAGATTCAATCAAATAAAGACTGCACAACACTAAATTTCAATTCCACCTGTGAGAAGGAGCCCAACATCTTTTAAAGATTATATTTATTACATGTTATGATTTGCTAAAATGCACACACGTTCCTATTGTGTAGAGAAGCACTCTGCTGCTTTTATTGTTGTTGTTATTGGTATTGTGAGTTCTTTATCCTTAGGCTGAACCCTGATTACCCATTCTTTTGTGCCATGTGCTAATGTGACTTTCTTCATGCTGATCACTAGCAGATGATTCTGAACTTAAACCACATTAAACTAAAGAAGGATTTACTTTATGGGACGTGGTGGCTCAACGGCTAAGACACTGAGCTTGACAATCGAATGGTTGGCAGTTCAGTGGTTCGAATCCCTACTGCCACATAACGGGGTGATCTCCCGTTACTTGTCCCAGCTTCTGCCAACCTAGCAGTTCAAAAGCACATAAAAAATGCAAGTAGAAAAATAGGGACCACCTTTGGTGGGAAGGTAACAGCGTTCTGTGCGCCTTTGGCATTTAGTCATGCCAGCCACATGGCCACGGAGACGTCTTCGGACAGCGCTGGCTCTTCGGCTTTGAAACAGAGATGAGCAGCGCCCCCTAGAGTCGGGAATGACTAGCACATATGTGTGAGGGGAACCTTTACCTTTACCTTTAAGGATTATTAAAAGGTTATGATTTATATAAGAGGTCTTCAAACTTGGCAGCTTTAAGACTTATGGACCGCTGGAGAATTCTGGGAGTTGAAGTCCACAAATCTTAAAGCTGCCAAGTTTGAAAGTCTCTGATTTATATCTGTGGGGTATAACAGTTTTAATCTAGTGGGGTGCATACAGTTGTTTTGCCCCACTGAACATGATTATTTTTCCATTAACCTTCAAGGGAACAGAAAGTTGAATTTCTAAAGAACATGTCAGGCCAAGTGAGTCCATAGCATGCCATAGGAGCACCGTAATTTTAGATACAGGTTAATGGGCTTCAAAGAATTATTAATCGAAATAGTTCAGATTCCCAATCACTGAGAACAAGAAAAAACTTTGGTATTTTAACATGATTTGAATTTTGTTAGATTCCATCATACTGATTATTTATGAATTTGTTTTGTTTTTCAACCTTAGTATTGACATCACCTACCTGTGTGACATTTAAAGTAATTGTCAGGGTTCCAAGTAACACACCCAACAAAAGAAAACTCCGAGGCTTGAAATTCCTCAAAGCTACATTTTATTAGTGATGTCATATTGGCATATCTGGGAAAACCTGAATCTGAAAGCTTCCAGGTTTTCAAGTCCCTGCCCAACACCTACAAGTCCATCTCATAGTCCAATCAAACATTGTTCCAACTGGAGATGCCACCCAGTTCCAGTCTTCCAGGTGCAGGGAAGTTGTCCTTGACTTCTTGAGAAAGCAATGTTATTATGATTATATATCACCCATAGTCCATGCAATCCCCCCTCCCAGTTTCCCACAGTAGTAAACATGGCAGGTCTGAAGGCCTAATACAAAAGATGGCTTCTAGGCCTGACATTAATGTCATTGCAGGAATATATAAATTCTGAAGGACATTTTTTTTTTACATTTATGTTATTCATTTAACTATTTTGCAGGAAAGACTTCAAATAGAACATGGAACACTTACCATTCCCAGCGTGAATCTCTCCGACACTGGCATGTATCAGTGTGTGGCAGAAAATAGATACGGAGTCATCTATGTCAGCGCAGAACTGAGCGTAATTGGTGGGCTCCTTTTACTTAAAAGCTATTGAAAAATTTCTATTGCCTTAAATTGTTTTATTGCCTCTAATGAAGTCATTAATTAATGTGATATTAATTAAATTCCAGAAAAGTTGATCCAAAGCATTTTCTGAAAGTTAGTGGGAACGATTGCTACTATATGTAAAATGTTTTATGTCATATTTTACTACTATTTATTCTTACAACAATAATTTGCTTCTTTGCAATGAAAGAAGTTTTCCCGTGTGTTATCTAACATAAAGATGGACATGTTGTGGGGTTCACTGCATGTAAACACAGATACAAACCCAGATGCAAAACCAGTTTTAGAACATATCATGCAGACGTTTGATTAATGTGATACACGTATCTATAATTCCCACTTTTCTATTTTATTTGTTTGTTTGCTTGTCTTTTTTGTTTGTAGTTTTTATGGAATTTCTTTCTTTCTTTCTTTCTTTCTTTCTCTTTCTTTCTTTTTTCTTTTTTCTTTCTTTTTGCATTTTGTATTTTTTTATTCCTCATTGTAAAACTTTCTAATAACTCAATAATAAAAGACTTGAATTGATTATATTTAATTTACTTAAATACAGTTATTTGATTGCTCCCCATGTATAGCAATAATCAGTCTCTTCTGCTGCATTCATAAACACAATTTTAATATTAAATTATAGATACAGTGACAACTTTTAGAGGTGCTTAAGAGTTGCATGTAGCCTTGTAGTCCCAGTTCTACCTTTACGTGATTACTGAAGCCTGAGTTGAGTGTAGCGTTTATCCGGATAGCAGTAATTCTGTGATGGATTATTAAAGGACTGGAATAAAACCTCAACAGATTCTGGCAAGGAGTCAATTGCCACTTTAGTGGATTTATCTAATTCAGCAAGATCTTTTTTATCTAATTTATTTAATTAGGCAAGGATAAGATCTTTTCTTACAACCCTGGTGGATCTGTTTTATGTACTTTGGAGTACCAAACAAGAATTACTGTAATTTTGTATTTGCAGATTTGTTTGCAATATTTATCCTGCTATAGCTAGGATAATGATGCTGGAGGATGGGAGGGGGACTGTAAGAATTAGAAGGATAAGCAAAAATGGACCAACGTGGGTAAAGTTTGATAACAGAATTGCTTCTCTGCCCACTTCAGATATGATCCATAAAAGGGGTACCTCCCTCTATTCCCTAAAGTGGCTTGACTTTTTTCACATTTCTTTGTGAATCCCCCAAAATAGTCCTGCTGCGTTAAGAGTCAGGGTGACTTTATTGAATTTATTCCTTAAAGTAACAGCATCTCTTCATTTCCTGACGCAAGTTGTGCTATTTTAAGGAATAGCAGAGAGGCTCTGTTGTCATACAGCATCCAAAGCTTCTTAGGTGACAATTTCTTCCAAATGGTTTTTGAAGCCTTCAGAGCCTGCCAGGTCTTTTAGAAGGCTTTAGTGCAGTGATGGCGAACCTTTTGGGCTTGGAGTGGTCAAAATTCAGAAAATGCTAACTTCTTGTATTTTTGTTCTTTGGTAACTCAAACAGGGACAGTAGTTGTGGTCTAGTGTGGGTAAATGCTGGTGTGTCAACCTTTGACCTGTTTGTCATAGACTCGCAATCACTGCTTAGTGCCATATCAAAAGCACTATTATATAAATACATAATATGTACATTTTATGTATATTTTATGTATTTGGCCACACAGAATCTAGCTACCAGTTTTTAAAGAATCATTTGAGAAAATGGTTGCTAATATTATAACTTCAGATCAACACAAAACATCTGAGCCCACTGGCTCAATCTGCAACCTCATTTTATTAATTTTACCCTTTTTTTTGCTTTTACACCTAACATTTGTGAAATATAGTTGTGTTACTTGTGTTACTGTGAGAAACCTATTAGGTGAAACAAACCTAAGGTTCAATAAAAGGCCACCATATAAATATCACACACAGAACAGCCCAAAGCACACAGAGAAATTCCCTGAGGGTGAGTTCCAGTATGAGTCTGAAAGCTCGGAAGATAAATCCAAATGGTCCCGATGACTGATCCATATTGGATCCTTCAATAAAAATGAATCCTTCGTTTTTAAAACAGTGAATAAAGTTTTGATTAGATTGTTATATGTTTGAAAAAAGAATATTCAGCAACAAAACTTTTATCTGCTCAGAAGATTTAAAATATTTTCTAGGCAGAATTTTATTTCTTGCTCATTTTAAAAAAATAGATAAATAGATGTTTTCCGGGAGAAACACATCTTTCCACTTCTTCAGGAAGAAAGAGCAATAGAGTTCAGCAAAATAGGATCCATAGTGGAAAGTTTTATCTCATATAAGGTTATTTCATATAAAAGGAATCTAAAGAAAACTCTGGATGCCTCTAAAATCCATTAAGTTACCCCAGGGAGTTCTCATTTAGCAACCACAATTGCAAGTGGCAACTCCTATGCTAAATGAAGTGGCCACTAAGTGCAAAATCACGTTGCCCCAACTGTTGTTTTCCTTTTCCCCATTGCTAGACCCCTTGGACAGCACAGGGATAGCTGGCTCAAAACTGACAAGACTAATCATTTCACACCTTTAGCTTTTATTTTCCTCCTAACCATTTCCCCACCCTTTTGAATGCTCACCCTAGCACTGGGATAATTAACAAGAAAGAAAATTGTATTTGTTTTTACATTCATTGAAGAGGAAGGGATTATAAAAGAGTATGTGGGCACACAGTGGGGGATACCCATCGAAAGCAATGTGTTGGTGTTGGTACAATCTATGCCTACTTACTCTCTTGTAATCCCTTCTTATCAAATATCCCTGTTCTGGAGGCGGGGGGAAGGATCAAGCACAAGAGAGATTGCCTATAAAAATTGCTTTTTTTTTTTTATTCCTTCACTCCAAGGAGAGAGATTGGAGAAAAAATGGATTAGAAGAGAGTAAGCAAGCAGAGAATGAAGAGGACACTAGACTGTTTGCATACTCATGTTTGCATACTCAGCACACTTATGGCTGCCAGTGCCAGCCCTTTTGATGGGTATTTCTTCTAGTGGGCCTTCTTCCTCTCTTTTAAACTCTTCTTGTGCAATCTCTTTTTCTGCAGGGGGTGGGGGAAACAAAGATCAGACACAGGATAATTTGTACTGACTATAATGATAATCATGTGACTAAGAGATAGCTCCGTTGTAACTTTGAACAATCAATGAATGAGACTGTTTGTAAGTGAGGACTACCTGTAGTATATTATTGTATAGTATACTTACAGCAGAGGCGGGTTCCAAATCCCATCGCTACTGGTTCACTCGTGCTTGCGTACTCGTGCGTGTGGCGCTTCTGCGCATGCACAGAAGCATCCGGGTGGGTGGGCGGAGCCTCCCGCCACTACCGGTTCACCCAATTCGGTGCGAACCAGTAGCAACCCACCACTGACTTACAGAAATACAAATTATGTATAATGTAAAAGTGTTCAATTTTGTCTTGTGTTAAATTGTTTATAGTACCTATAAAAAGTTTTGCCTAAGCATAAAGACGTAACAATGATAATAAGAACAATATTTCTACATTTATTGCTACAAAGGAAACATGATATACACAACAGTTCCTAATTAGTTGAAAGCAAATAAACATACTAGAATGAGTGGATAAAATGCACAATATTTTTCCAGATATCCATGTTAAAGAAATCAATCTTGTAGGAAGCCTTAAGGAGGATAAGATAAGACTGTATAATCAGATCAGTGTAACTACAGAGCTGCAGTAGCTAGATCTCGCTATGATCCAATTATTTAAGATGTATACTAACTTGAAAAGGATAGGCCGTTCTCATCTGATCTCAGACTTTCCCAACTTGACGTAGTTTTTGCTTAGAAAACAAAATCAGGAAATGAAATGTATTCAAACACGGGGGGGGAGAGTTTCACATATTAATGGTATTTTGAAAGGGAAATTGTCAAGAAGAAGAGGTTTCTATTTAAAAAAAAAAACTCAACAGCTCTAAAGGTAATTTCATTTTGATGTATATTCATAGGCAAATATTCCTTTGAAAAAGATATGGCTTTCAAAGCACAATCAATTTGGGCAACTAGCTCTTTATTTTTCTCTGTTGTGCGCAAGCTATTAAAGTCCCAGATATAATGATTGTAACTATAGTTTTTGATAAAATGTAACTTAGGGGAAAAAACATTAAAAAGCAGTCAATAATCCTTTACCTTCTTTAGCAACCATTTGCAAACACAATGGAATTTATATAAAAAAATCATTTTCCAACCAATGCTTATGATGAAATTTCATGAACCTGACACCAGATTGTAAGTAATTCTGGCATACCTGCCCAAGAGAACTTTATCTAAATGAAATGGCAGGAATAGTACATAGACACCCCTCTCTAAGCGGTTTACAGAGCCAGTATATTACCCCCAACAATCTGGATCCTCATTTTAGTGACCTCAAAAAGATGGAAGGCTGAGTCAACCTTGAGCCTGTAAGGAATCGAACTGCTCTCTCCCTCCCTCCCCCTCCCCCTCTCTCTCTCTCCTATTTCATTTAGCAACAAAGTTGCTGGAATGGACAATGATTGCTAAATGAAGAGAAGGTACATAGGTTCTTAATATAATGAGAGGGACCTGAAAATATTTTTCCCATACAGATCAATCTTTTGTTATAAAAGGAGATGTATCTTTAGGGAATTATTTTAAAATAAAATAATCATTCAACCAAATCATGTGCACATTTGTCAAATAAGATATATTCTGTATTGCATAACAAAGTAAAGGGAAATTGGAGCCTAATTATATTTTGTTAGGAGATATCCATAATTATTATTTGATATTTGAGCCACTGGCAATCTAAAAACCTTAGTTCTTGACAAACAACATGCTGAGAATGTCCATATATTCTCCATATATCCAAATCTTACAATGGACATTTCTTTGGTAGACTGCTCAGTACTAAATTGTCTGAATAGTTTCCATCTTACATTCATCTTTTTCCAGGATTTTATGAAATCCCAGTGGCTTACAAATACTTATGATTCTCACTAGAGTACCATGCATTGGAATAGAGGTAGTCTTCGACTTGCAACAGTTTGTTTAGTAACCAGTCAAAGTTACAACAGCACTGAAAAAAGTTATTTATGACTGTTTTTCACACGATCATTGCAGCATCCTTATAGTCACATGATCAAAATTCAGATGCTTCGCAACTGACTCATGTTTATGATGGTTGCAGTGTCCCAGGTTCATATCAAGGGTGAAATGTTCCCAGTTCGGACCGGATCACTCGATCCGGTAGCGATGGAGGCGGGTGGTTCGGAGAACCAGTAGCAAAAATCCCTGCCCCCCCCCCATGCCCAGCTGAGCCACACAATCATCAGAGGCTTTTTTTTTACTTTTAAAAGCATTTTTTCTACAACCTCTTCGGGCAAAAAATGCTTTTAAAAGAAAAAAAAAAGCCTCTGATGATCGCGCGGCTCAGCTTGGATCGTCAAAGGCTTTTAAAAGAAAAAAAACTTTTTTCTTTAAATGCCTCTTGACGATCCCAGCTGAGTTGCCTGATCGGCAGAGGCTTTTTAAAAAAGCCTCTGCCAATCAGGCAACTCAGCTGGGATCGTCAGAGCCTTTTGAAAGCATTTTTTTACAACCTCTTCGCCGAAGAGGTTGTAGAAAAAATGGTTTTAAAAGTTAAAAAAAAATTGGCCATGGCCACCCTGTCACATTACCTCCCCACCAAGCCACATCCACAGAACCAGTAGTAACAAATTTTAGATTTCACCACTGGTTCATATAATCAGTGCTACCTTCTATCAAGAAAAGTCAATGGGGAAGCCAGATTCACTTTACAATCATATTACTAACTTAAGAACTTCAGTAATTCACGTAACAACAATGACAAGAAAGACTGTAAAGTGGGACAAAACTCACTTAACAACTGTCTCATTTAGCTGTAGAAATTCTGGGCTCAATTGTAGTCATAAGTTGAGGACTACCTGTGTCTCATTTAAAGAATTCCTTTTGAAGCAGAGTCTTGGAAATAACATTCAAGTTTTTATATATTGCTAAAGGTGTATTCTTGAGATAACAAGAACTGTTTTTTATTAGAAAACTAAGCATCAAAAACTTATTCTACAAGCTCTAGATAGGTCTATCAGTTGAAATCTTTTCAAAACGCAACATCTCCATGCAATATCAATATTGTCCTAGCTTTGCAAATTATGTCTGCCACAAAAGGAAAGTAGTTGCTAAGGAACAAACATGCCAGAAGGAGAGCCATTCTAAAGAAAATATAGTAGTGATTGGCTAGTTGCGGAGAAGGTATGTCCCCTTATTCAGCAAAATGATTTTGAACGTAAGTTTGCATTTTGTTTCTACAGGGAGATTTACAACTGTTTGTAGTTACAAACGTTCAAAGTTACAACGGCACTGAAAAAAGTTACTTATTACCATTCTTCACAGTTACAATCTTTGTAGCATCCCCATGGTCATGTGATCAAAATTCAAATGCTTGGCAACTGGTTCATACTTACGACCATTGCTACGTCCCAAGGTCTTGTGATCCCCTTTTACGATCTTTTAACAAGCAAAGTCAATGGGGAAGTCAGATTTACTTAACAACTGTTCTTCTAACGTAACAACTGCAGTGATTCACTTAACAACTGTGGCAAGAAAGATAAAATGGGGCAAAATTTGCTTAATAAATGTTTCACTTAACAACAGAAATTTGGGGCTCAATTGTGGTCGTAGGTCGAGGACTACCTATGTTAATTTGTGGGGGGAGGTATTTGGACTTGTAGAGAGCACATGAATTTAATTCTGCTGAGGCCAATAAAGGTTTGAGGAACATTTTGCCAGCCTCCCCTCATTGGAAAGAGAATTCTGTTCCCATCTATGAATACCTCCAAGTATCAAAAGTATAAATTGAAGGAACTGTTTATAGAGCCTTGGTGGCGCAGCAGACTAAAGTGCTGTTAAGTAGCACCAGCTGCCTGCAATTACTGCAAGTTCAAATCTCACCAAGCTCAAGGTTGACTCAGCCTTCCATCTTTTCGAGGTAGGTAAAATGAGGACCCGGATTGTGGGGGCAATAAGATGACTTTGTATAAAAAAGAATACCGCTTAGGGGGGCCTGAAAGCCCTACTAAGCAGGTATATACAAAAGTATGAAGGCTATTGCTTAATGCACTGAAAGCCGCCCTGAGTCTCCAGAGAAGGGCGGCATATAAATCGAACCAATAAATAAATAAATAAATAAATACATACATACATACATGCATACATACATACATACATACTGAAGGGCTGCTTTGCATCTGTGTTACTGTTCTAAAATGTTCTATAATAACATTTTTCTAGAAGACAGGCCTTTTTGGATTTGGTTCAGTTTGATTTTTATTTTTTTGCCAGATGCTGAATTAAGTGGCATTCTATATTAGGAAATCATTTTTAAGTGTTTTAATCCTTGGTTATTGAGTCATGGTATAAAGCTCCCTGAAATATATTTCCATCTTGCAAAAAAAAAAAAAAAAAAACACCACTCCCTGAAATGATTAGATGACCTGACATTATTAAATATTAAACATAAAGTTCTATAGTGAAAGCACAGCAGGGAAAAAAGACTATTATATTTAGAAGATTTTTAATTAGCACATACAACAATATACTCTACTTCACTTTGAATGAAGTAACTACAGTCTCTCTGGTAATACTGGTGTCTGCCTTTTTCCTAATACAGAGAGAAAGAAAAAAGCCTTAATTGTAATTCTTTTATATGATATCTTTCTGTCTCCTCATTCACAACATTATTCACAGCTCTTATCTTTGCCACTTGATGTTCAGGCATAATGTCTTCCAATCTCCTAAGTGATTCTGTGATGGTGTGATGGATCACTTATACTGTGAGCCTGTAAATCTGATGGAAAACATCCTTGAACTCATGTTTTTCAGTGGCTGCTTAAATCATTATTACTACTCAATGCTAGACCAGTTTTCCCTCGCTAGATGCTTGATATGACAAACGTTCATTTGCCATTGTGGACCCTGCAGCTACTGAAGAAAAGTTGGCTCATATTACATCAGGGGAAATACACAATAGATCTCCTACTAATCACCTAGAAACAAATTACGGAGAAAAGGTTTTCTCCAGGTCTGCTTTAAATCCTCAACCCAGAAGCTACCCAACTCATTTATTGCCTCTTTAGGAGCTAAGCTACTGTGCAGTCAGCTTCTGAAAAATCAGTTTTTGGATAGGAGAAAGCAGTGAACAATTTCCCCTTCTCCATCTCAACAAAATATCTGGTTTTGAAGGGAAAAATGCTTCCTATGGGCGTAATAAATAATTGTTAATTTGTGAAATCATATTTAGATATAAAAGTGAATAAGATGGCACAATACAGTCATTAACTGGATATGGGAAAAGGGCCATATAGAGGTATAGAATTCGTATATATTTAAAAAGGGAATGTGCAAGATTTAATAATACTAGATGAATCACATTTTAGTCCTAGGGGTGGCTATGGGTTGAGGGTTTAAAAAATGAAGATGCAGGCAGAACTGGGCAACCAAAGCCTCAGGCCTTTTAAATATGCATCACAAGCATGTAAAAAGGGTCATTATGTAGTCCATCTGCCATTTTGTTTTTGTTTTTCTTTTTAACCTTTCTGCAGATGTTCCTGTTCAGTCCTATAGTGTATCACAGTATTTTATTTAATAATAGTTCTTTGTGAAATGCATTAAGACAATGCCTTAGTTGCAGATTTGAAAGTCTAAACTATATTCACAGTAAGTAGCCATTCACAATTAGTACTGGTTCGTTCATTCATAGATGTTATTGTCACCTTCTAATCTGTAGCTTTATTTGCAAGGATGGAGGCAGAGCACAGAGATTAGATTAGATTAGATAAAATTAGAACAGAACAGAACAGAGCTTGCAGATCTTCTAGTCCAACCCCCTGCTTAGACAGGAAACCCTGCACCATTTCAGACAAATGGTTATCCAATCTCCTCTTAAAAGCTTCCAGTGTTGGAGCATTCACAACTTCTGGAGGCAAGTTGTTCCACTGATTAATTGTTCTAACTGTCAGGAAATTTCTCCTTGGTTCTAAGTTGCTTCTCTCCTTGATTAGTTTTCACCCATTGCTTCTTGTCCTACCATCAGGTGCTTGGGACAATAGCTTGACTGACTCCCTCTTCTTTGTGGCAGCCCCTGAGATATTGGAACACTGCTATCATGTCACCCCTAATCCTTCTTTTCATCAAACTAGACATACCCAGTTCCAGCAACCGTTCTTTATATGTTAAGATATGAATTGCTTCTGTGAAAAAAAAATGTTTTGTGAAGATGTGGGCTGATATGAAAGTTCTGGCTGCATTATTTCATTTGTGATAGTTACTTTACATACACAAGTTATTACTTAAAGTTATGGTCATGAGCAATCATGAAGGTCATGAAATTCCTAGGGAACCACAATGTTTAGTATCACTGAAATTAGCATGTAGAAAGCATTGTTTTCCATCCAATATTTAATTGGTGCAAGATTACAATTCTTTCCAGTGATTACCCAGAACACAATGTTCATTGTCCTAGCCGATTTGTCAGCCTCTGGAATAGCTTTTCAGGAATACAGAGAATGTACCAGACAAATCAGTTAATGAAAACTGATGTCCCACTTCTTTTATTTATCTCTTTTAACTGTGGTTTGGGGATATTCTGCAGGTTAATTATGTAAACCAATAATTATACATTCTGAGAGAATTCAGAATAAATTCAACATTTGTTTCAGGACAATTTGATGGCAGTTTTCATTAATTCTGAGTTCTCTGTTATCTTTCAGCTGTGGGTCCAGATTTCTCCAAAACCTTCTTAAAAAAAATAACTTTTGTTAAAGTTGGTAGTGATGCAACCATTGAATGCAAGCCTAAAGCTTCTCCAAGGCCAACTTTTACTTGGAAGAAAGGAAAAGAGATCATAAAGGAAAGTGAGAGGTAATGTATGAAAATACAACTTGTGTTGCTATTGAGATTTGTGTGCCCTTCCTTGAAATTTGACTTGAAAAGAGTAATCAGGAAGTAGTATTCAACTTGTAGATAAAACAAACAAACTTACACAGAGTATGTTGTTTCATTCTTCAGTTTTTTTGACGATCACTATTTTTACTTGAAATCATTTCATAAATTATCAGAATACAATCTCTCTGAAACTGCAGCTACTTGTCATTATTATTCAGATTTCTAAAATTAATTATTGAGTAACATATTATAAAGAAATGATTGGCAGCTATAAAGTCTGGCAATCGTACTCCAAAATCAATCAAAATCTTTCAGATAATTCTTTATAATGTGCATAAAGAAATAAATATACTAGATGTAAATGTTTCTTAAAGGGATTCCTTTTTCTCTCAGGACCACTTTTAACTTTTAAAAACTATGGAAGACCCCAAAAGAGCATTTGTTTGTAGGAATTATGTTAATTGAAATTTACAGTATCAAAATTGATGTCAAGTGCAAAAGATCAGGTCCATGGGTGAAGGTCCAAGTAAATTGATTTATGCCTATCCACAGGAATATTTTCAATTAATGGTTAGCACCTGCTGGAGTTAGATAAGGGTCAACAGAATTCGGGGGGGGGACTTGTGGCTACGTTGAGATACTAGGCTGATCCCTCTTTTAACTCCGCCCTCAGGTTCTGCCAATCCTTATCCTACAGATGCATCTTCTGCCACTATTGCTTTTTACGATTGTCTGATAGAATTTTAATATTTTATTATTTTTCAAAATAGGCTGCCAATTAATTGTGATTTCATGGACTTTTGAGAAAGTCTTGGAGGACTCACAGGGATTTAGGACCACAATTTAAGAAGCAATGAATTAAATAATGCCAAAAATACCGTACCCTCAACATGTTTCATAACTGCCCTGGAAAGCAACTATTTCTATTCATGTTTCATATAATATGTAAATTTATTTAATAAATTTTGTCTACCTGAAATACTGCTTCAGGAATTATAGAACTTGCTGAACCATGTTATGTATATTAATATATTATTATTATTTGAGAGAATAGAGTATAATGTTGAATTATTACATAGTTATGCATTATAGCTACATAAAGGGATGTGGTGGCTCAGTGGCTAAGACGCTGAACTTGTCGATCAAAAGGTCAGCAATTCAGTGGTTCAAATCCCTAGTGCCGTATAACGGGGTGAGCTCCCGTTATTTGTCCCAGCTTCTGCCAACCTAGCAGTTCGAAAGTACGTAAAAAATAAAAATAGAAAAATAGGAACCACCTTTGGTGGGAAGGTAACAGTGTTCCATGCATCTTTGGCATTTAGTCATGCCAGCCACATGACCACGGAGCCGTCTTCGGACAGTGCTGGCTCTTCGGCTTTGAAACAGAGATGAGCAGCGCCCCCTAGAGTCGGGAACAACTAGCATATATGTGCGAGGGGAACCTTTACCTTTACCTTATAGCTACATATTAACAAATTAAAAATATTATATATAAATCTGTCTGGTACCCAGTTTAAAATTTGAAAAACAAGATGTTCTCCCAATCTATGTAGCTTTTAGGAGAAAAATAATAGATCTTTAATAGCACCACTTTTATTTAGGAATAATAGTTATGATGGTCACAATCATGTAGGCAAAGTTGCACAACTATTATTAATAGATTAATGGCATCACTATTCCATTCCACTGCACAGCCAGATAAGATAAATTTGTGCATTAATTATTTAATGACCCCATGGATAATTAAATGTATACTCGATCTTCAATCTAAAAAGTTTTTAAAAGTTAGAGAAAAGCTTAGTGAAAGGTAAGCATCTGTACAGATTTTCTAAATGCAAAGAGTATTGAGGTCAAACAAATGGGGAGGGTGTTCCCTTTGTCTTAGGCAATCCGTTTCCCATGGTTCATTTTTTCAGAGATACTTTGAAACAGAAAAACCGAATGACCAGAATGAGTGGATTGCTGTTGTGTAATTCAGCTTCTCACCTTCAATCTAATCTTCCTCTGGTTCATTGTTTGATATACATAAAAACACATTGCCATTAGTATTTTGTTTGCTGTTTAGAGCTGATGATGCTAGCCATCATATCCTAGAGGTGAGAAAAAGTATTGAAAAGTGTCATAGAAACAATGTGACTCTGAAAACGTTGATGAAGATTCTCAGTCATCCAGGTAGAGTTGTCTGTAAGTTGAATCATGGCAACTGGAGAGGCCTAGAGATGTACAGAATTTTATTATTCGATGAAAACATCTCAGTGATTTGCCTGGAATATTAGCAGTACAGTGTCATATTTGAACTGAGTGTCTAGACAAAATAATAACATTAACTTTATGGTGCATCTGGCTCTTCTTTTCTAGAAGCTGCCAAAGATAGCAAAATAGAATCAGGTCTGATCAATACTTTCTCAACATATCGAGATTATCTTGCATAGATAGATGATAGATAGAGATGGATAGATGGATGGATGCTTGGATGGATGGATGGATGACTTTAGATTTTGGATTATTTTCATGAAGTAGAATTACTGTTTCTTATAAAATATCTAAAGGTATCTCTTAATGGTACTTGAAAGCTATACTTTTGCATGAAGAATTTTGCCCTGGAGTACAGTTACACAATTGTGCTCATTAAAGATACTTCATCACCATAATAATAGAAATGGTCTCCAAGAAAAGTAAGTGCCATCAATACTGCAGAAAGTAAATTATTTAATGCTAGGAAACAGATCTACATATATTATAACTCAAAACGTTGCCTCTAGAAATAAAGAGTAATTATTCATAAGCATTGATTTAAACCTTAGTCTCAGTTGCTGGGTGTTTAGCCTTTACTTTCTTCATTTTCTCAATAATTTCATTAGGTATTATACAATACAAGTAAAACTTATACAACTACAAAATAAACAAATATTATATGCAGAAAAAGAAGATAAAAATAAAAACATAGAAAAGAAAATAAATCTCCCCCTTCAGCTCCAGCAACATTAAGACCATATAACTAACTCTTAAAATAAAGCCAAACATCTCCTCATTTTATATCTTCCTCAGTTTCTATAAACCCATCCTCTAAAACCCCATTGAGGAAACTTTCCAAAGCCAACACATATCATCCTCTTGCTGTATATTCCAAAAAATACAAATCTTTAAACTCATAGTTAAAACTGTTTTTTTAAAAAAGGATTGAAAGACATATAACCAGTGGTTGCCCCCGGTTCGCACCGGTTCTATAGAACCGGTGGGAGGCTCCACCCACCAACCCCAACGTCATCAGAACGCTTCTGCACATGCGTGCGCAGCCCCATTGCGAACCGGTAGTAAAGGTAAATAGAACCACCCCTGCATTTAATCTAGTGAATACAATAAAACTTTCCAGTCTTAAGGTTCTTAATGTTTAAAGAAAGCCAGAAAATATGAACATAAATCCAAAGTGATTAAGAAATTAGCCAGTTGGTCTAATACAGTCCATACAGTCGACATTAGCGACTATGAGCACGATGGAATACTGCGACTCTCAGCTAATCGCAAACTGACCATAAAACAAGTTGCAAGTTCGACCTAATTCATTATTTTTCTTTCAACTCTCTAGTCTTTCAACTTTCCAAATACTCGGGTACTGTTAAAATATTTTAAAATATAGACTAGAGGTAACGTCAGTTTCTTTATATATTTAACAATATTTTATACTACCCCAATCAAATCTGAATGGTTAAAAGTAAAGTCATTGTTACCTTCTATAAAATTTCAGACCCCCTGACTGATATTAATTGGCTAAAAATGCTTCATTACTATCAACTCAGATCAAGTGTTGCCTTATAATTGAGTATTATAAAAATAATATAATTTAATATAACATAATGATATAAAAAAATAATACTGGAAACCCCTCTTCTAACCAATTCTGTTTCAGACAAAAGATCATTGTACAATGCAGGTGGGTGGGAAAAAAATTGTCTTTATTTTCAGACTATTTCATTATGTGTTATTTGATACTAAATCTTTTCTCGTTATTGTGATTCATTTCTTTTCTCCACATATCACTTAGTTTTCACTGAGCCCAAGAGTTTACCATTAATTATCTCCTTTCCTGTCAAAATCATTGTGCCATTTTTCTAAAGCAAGAAACGTTTTAAACACACAAAGAGTCTGATGTAGCCTTCTATTCTAACAAAATATATTATCTTTAATAAAATATTTTTTCACATTATTGCTCTTTTTTAGTTAGTAGTTTTACGATCTTCGCCTTGCACAATATGTGGTGGGGTTTTTTTTTTTTCAATTCTTTCTTAAAATTAAAGATAATAGAATTATCAGAGACTGATGGTATAAGCAGTTTTAGAGGGGCTTCTGGAAAAATTCAAAGGGCTGAAGCAAATCACACTTTGGGAGTGAAAATGTTCCATAAAATGGGCACTACAGCATAGAAGACCTGCCTGCTGAGATTAACCAAGTGTAACTTCATAGCAGATGGGATTTGTAGCAGGCCTCTTCTGCTGGATCTGATGGGCTTTCTTTCTTTTTTTATGGCATGGTTTTTATATTTTTGTATTTTTATTCTTACATTTTATGTACAAGTAGTCCTTGATTTATGAACCCAACTGAGCCCAAAATTTCTGTTGCTAAGAAAGACAGTTGTTAAGTGAGCTTTTCCCCATTTATGACCTTTCTTCCACAGATATTAAGTGATATGAAGTTAGTAACACGGTTGTTAAGTGAATTGGGCTTCCCCATTGACTTTGCTTGTCACAAGGTTGCAAAATGACCCCAGAACACTGCAAGCATAATCAATAAATGCATGCCAGTTGCCAAGCTTCCAAATTTTGATTAGTTGTCCATGGAGATGCTGCAAATGATCATAAGTGTGAAAAACACTGGTCACTTTTTTTGCACTTTTTATATATATATTAGTTTATCACATAATATTGTATAGTATAGTTTTATGTTATATAATAATATTTTATATTTTGGATCATATTTTT